TGATGAGCGTGCTGCGGCAACACAACAGTACACAACGCACCGTTTTTAATTTGTTGCCGATTCTGCACTGTTGTCTTGGAGGACAACAATCCATGATGAAGAGCGACTTAAAAATGAGCTTAGTTCAGAAGGTCACGGTGCTTAATATGGTGTCCATTTCATACAGGTAGTGGCAGGCCGTTCGGCTTTCTTCCCCTTCCCCTTCTTTTTACGCAGCTTTCCAAACTCAGGCCTGCTGGGGGACGCATCTAGTAGATGCGAAGCTTCTGCAAATAAAGAGGACAGCCCCAAATCTTCATCTCTGTCGGGCACAGTAGTAGCAAAGGTTTTTTTTTTTCCACTCCTTCCTCAGGATCCAGTTTGGGGAGTTCTCTTTTTGTGCTGAATGAATCGGCTTCGATCTTACCCGTTTGTTTTTCAAGGCGAGGGGGTGGTCCGATGATTTCGATTCCAGAGTCAATGTCATGGAATTTTTTCTCTGTTTGTTATACTGCATGTACTTTCCCAGGGTCTGGTGGTACAGTTTTAATTTTCTTCCGCTCCTATATCTTGTCTCTCCAGATACCATCTCATTTTAGAGTCCAGTCCGTGCACAACTCTAGTGATGGGGGTTAGTTAGCTTGTAACTGGTTTAAGGTCTCGTGGGGAATCAAAACCATCTCCTTGGCGTGCTCCATATTTCTTATTTGAACAACATGCTACCCAGAGTGCCCAGTATCGGTGTAAGCAAAGCTCCACGGAATCCCCCCTTCTGACGGATTATTTTTTTCTTTTTAGCACGCTTGCCCTCATTCGCTTCGCCTCCACGTTCTCCAGCTCCCGCTCCATCAACTCCACAGGGTCCATCTCTTCCTCCCTATCACCTGTTTGGTTATCAGCAGGTACACCATGACTACACTGAAGAGGGCGTATGAAGTATTGGTGATCGGCCTCTTGGTATAGTTTGCAGTTCTGACAGTACACCTTACCGCAAACGTGCTTCTGTTTCGTCAGTCGGCCCTTCTTGTTTATGGTATTTCCACAAGTACATTTGTATATCATCGAACAGGTAGAGTTTCCACCCACGACTGCAGTGCCACTCTTTGTCTTCACATTTCTCAGCGGCGTTTTTTCTTTGTGTTTTTCGAAACATGAGGGACTCTTGAACAGCCTGTTGCAGTCTTTTCAGTCAACCCACCCGTTAAATCACAGTCAGGAAATGAACTGTAACAACACAGACATTTAGCTATGCATTTGTGCTTTCTTTTGTCGTCGTATCCTCGGAGACAAATGTCGCAAAAGTACTATCTGCACAGAAAACTGGTCATGGATCTTATAACTGCATAGTGATTGTCGTAAAAATACAAGAACAGCTTCTGCGGAGCGTCCACCTCCTTGAACCAGACGGCATTAAAGAGCTCTTTGGAAAGAACAATGAGCTGCAGACCGTCGGCACTCAGAACCCGCTGGAATTTCAACAATTCTTCCAAGCCACACCTCTGGAGCGGAACGTCTGCCTGACGATGCAGTTCTAGTGCCAATCGAGTGGTGTCACCGCGACCCTGGCGAATGGAATTCCAATTGGTTTGAGGGTTGTCACGTCGGAGGGCTGCTCTGGCATTGTCGATTGCCTTTGCACAACAAAGCTCGTCTTGGTTCTTGATGGTGATGCATCCCCTCTTATTTTTGAGCCATCGCTCTAAAGCAGACCCACCACGAGCAAGACAGTGATTTGGATGACCTCCCTTGTCCATCCAAACAATGACGACCCTAATGACGACATCCCCGTTCAGACTGACGCTCTCGTTCGACTGCAGAATTTTTTCGATGTTTGACAGAACGTCATGGACGGAGAGATTTTCTTTTTTTCTGAAGCTCATCCAGAAATTCCGGTCTAAGTTCGGAAAACGCATCTCGAACGAAACAAAGTCTTTAGGTTCCGCGTTGCTCAGAACACGGTCCACGATGGACCGGAATACGCCTCCCAAAGTATTTAAGACATTACCTATACTGCGTACAGGCTTGATGTCATTGAAACGCAAGGTATATTCGTTTCCCTGGGTGCGAAATTTACGCACTTGGCGCGAAATAACTGATAAGTCTTCGGGACTTACTTGCCGTGCCTCAGACCGTTCTTCCTACTGGATGATCTCATCTTCATTCCCTCCCCGCTGTGGGTCTGTCCGGGTGGCCGACGTGTCCATCGTGGGCTCATCACTACCCGAGGGAGGCTCGGGCTCAGAATCCGCGTCAAATCCTTTATCCGCATACACCTCGGAATCCCCATCGTGATCTTCAGAAAGAGCATCTTGGAACGCCCTCGTTATTTTGACAGTGACACTGTTGTCCAGCGTCATTTCGCGGTTCAGGTTGCGAAAGTAAACTTGGAGCATTTCAGTCACTGAACGTCTCGTTACCCTTCTCAGCTTCCTGAACGGCATCCAAAAATTAGGTCTGACCCCTGGAAATTTGATAGACACGCCAATAAGATCAAATGAAGAAAAATTGACGAAAAGCCTTCTCTGCAAGGACTCGATTACTGCGCCGATGATGCGGATAATCCTCTTGGTGCTCCGAATGGGCTGCGAAATCACTCGAAAAGTGTATTCTTCGCCTGCCGTCTGCAGGTTGTGGATGTAACGATTGTTGTAAGAGACTACTCGGTACAGCTCGCTCGGACCCCCTTTCAATTTCTTTGACGACCCAGTGGACGACGGTCCGGGGCCTGCATCGTCGTTTGCATGCGCCCGGGGAAATTCATGCAGAGAAAAACTGGCGGGCAACTTTAGTTGGAGGACCGTCATCTTCGTCCCGGCCGTGAGGTAAGAACACGGGACTCCGCTTATTGCTCGCATTCAGAGATCTACCTCCACTTACCGCTACCTCCTCTTCCTCTTCTTTCTGCCCTCTTTCATTCAATGAGGATTGTCCTCTACCACTTTGCCAAGATTTCTGTACGAGAGAAATAAATACCGAAAAATTCATTTTCCAAAAATAATTGTGAGTTCCAAAATGTAATATATTGGTTCTCGTAAGCACTGCCTGGAGGCTATTACAGTTACTATCATTAAAAATAACAACGCCAACACGAAGTAGTCGTCTAAACCGTAGACAATTCGCCATGATTTACTTACTTCGATCCCTTCTTCCTCTCCTGTATCGTCCTCCGCGTCAGCTTTTAAATCATGGGGTGCATAGCCCAGGCATCGATCGGCGATGGCCTGAATTTCGTCCAGCTGACTTACTGTGGGATCCGGAGAAAGGAGCAGATCCTCGTTGTAACCATCGTCGCCGTGTTCGAGATGACGATCTGCAATGGCTTGTATCTCATCGAGTTGACTTTCGGTAGGGTCGGGAGAAACAAACAGATCCTCGTCTTCGTAAGCGCGATCTCCGTTTCTGGACATTTTGCTTTGTGATTTCAGCGGCCGAAACAGGGGAAAAACTGTCAAGAACTCTAACAACTAAAAAACAAATCCTTGTAGTGTTCTCACTGAAATTGAAGCGCGTAAATCACTTCACAAAGCTTAGTGAAAGAATCGTGCAGAACACGTGTACTCTCAAAAAGGTCAACAGATGGGCACCGCCATTAAGGAGTTCCTTCACGACGTGGTGTTTCGCGACCAACGCACTTTAGACTTTAATTCTTTTTATCTCTCTTTTAGTTTTTCTAAACTATTTTGGGTCATATCGCTTGTTACACAATTTTAACGCGCGCTTCAAATTGGACCTGCTCGGACTTGACTGTGCAAATGAAAAAGAGCGTGCGGCTCAACTCTTCGTATCTAATTAGACACACACCTTTGACATTTTCGTCGCTCACCCACTAACCTTTCCAAACCCGGAAGTCGTGAACCCTTACCTACCTAGTAACCCGGAAGTCGTGATCCCTTACCTTCTTACTCGTTACCGGAAGTCAAGGTCAAACTGGTCTATATTAGACCGGAAGTCGGTCAAGCATCAGGGTTCAAACTGGTCTATACTAACTACCTTTACTACTAGCGATATCGGAAAAATGTGGGGGGGGGGTAAATTCCGCCCCAGGCTTTTTGTTAGGTTTAAAGTTACAAGAAACTCGAGACAGCTGAGGGATAACAGTCTACTTATGCTCCAATGCAGAGAGTTCATGCTTTGTTTTTGCCATTTTTAAATATTTTATTCACAGTCTCTTCCGAAGAACCTAGCAGTACCATACTGGGAGATCTCCAAACTTCTTGGTATCACGCCAAGCTGCTGTCACTTCAATTCAATACTGGAAAATTGGATGCTTGTTGACCCGGATGGTCTCATGGTTGTAGAGTAAGTATTTTTAAATCGTGGAGGAATAAAAAATAACAGACAGGTGGTTCAGACAGGCGTGGTACCTTTCTCTGGATTCTTTTAGATATACACACGTCTATCCTTACCCCTGCGCGTGTATCCGCTTCGAGCGGGAAGAAAAGAGAGCGTGAACTCACCGCATGGGCGCGCAAGCTTATACACGTTTAATTGACGCGGGGCATGCAAGCTAAGTACGCGCCACGAATTTATTCTGGAATGTATGGTCTTCGCGTGCACGCCAAATAGGGGAACGCGTGCAAGAACCCGGTTGGAAAGCTTCGTACAAGTCTGTCTTTCTTTCGCCTGTGAGGGTGCACTTCAACTCGGGGCGGATTGTTGAAACTTTGGTGCTTGCTCGCCGCTGATCGAAAAGGTCAGTTTGTCCATCTTGCCATTTGCGAATTTTCGGTAGGTAAGGACTTGGCTGCAGGAACGTAGAATCGTCCGGTCTCAGCACTTGAATCTTGTTAGGGTTAGTGAACACACTGTGTGAGACGTCCAAGGACTGACCGTCATGGAAATTGTGACTTTTGTTTAATTGCACAACCTTACAAGGCTTCATAGCGACAGTTCCTTTGTAGATGAATTCCGTCTTCCATTGGCTAAATTCAGGAATCTGTAGACTTCTCAATTTAAACGCAATTTGACGTTTGGGTCTGTTACCATCGTCGTCACCTTCTTCAAATGCAGGTGCACTCGAAAAAAATACACCTGGTATCGTGTATATAGAGTCAATTAAAACAATTATGAAATATGGGTAGTACGACGATAGGTTTTGATCTGCCAAGAGATCGGTCGACATACCTGCTGGATGGAGACCATCCATGATCTACACCGGGTACCTATTATTATTACTGGTAATGCTATGGAAGACGTCCTCTCGGCTCTGATTATGCATTTCTGAACGTTTTCTTGTCATCTCAATTATTTTCATTGATTCCTCTTTCTACAAAACCACCAGATATTTCCACACCGTTTGTGATGTAATTAGCGTTGTCCTGCAGTAAAAGCAAAGAGCAGGTCGACATGATGGCTTCCTGTTTGTCGGCTAGCTCGCCCTAAATCTATATCTAAAATTATCACGTAAAATCGTGTCTTGCCATTCTACTGTTTCTTTAACTTCTTTTCCATCATCTTCATGCGCCTTAATCACGTCATTTGCTCTTCGATTTAGATTTAGTGGGTTTCGAATACTATCGTCAAGGGGTGTAACAAATGTAACCCAATCAATGGCATTTGGGTTTAGTTTTAGTTCAGGTTATATCATATTTCCTTGGAGATGAATTGGAGGCCAGCTGAATATCTATGACGGGTACAACAACCTGAAGAGTGCCATCCAAGGTGAGTTTGAATCCAGGCTTGAACGCTCAGCTGCAACCAGTCCAGGATGATGACTTTGTCCGCTTACCACTACTCCAGCTCAACCCCTCCAATCCTCACACCTCTGACACACTCCCAGCACCCCGAGCATCGTGAAGTTTACAAAGCCGTTTTACAACCTGACCAATCTAAACAACAGACTAACACCTGCAACTCAAACGCCTCAACAGATGATATAAGACTATAAGTTAACTCCGATGAAAAATTTTCTCCGACAATCGGGGCCTTGGCTATAGCAGGAATGGGCTTTTGGCCTTCAAAGTACTGCCGCGGAATTGTTTACGACGTTAAAACAAAACACAAAACGCCTTCGTCATCATCTTTCTCTACTGTGCAGAAACCTCCACAGGAGTATGCTCCTGTTGCGTAATACAAGGAACAAGTGTTTTTGCAAATGGGCAAACACAAGTCCAACGTATTCGGCCAACCACGGAGGAAGGAATTTGGCCAACCAACCCACGCCCCTCGACTTACTCGCAGCAATGTACACTTCCTATGATGCCCGACGCGACGGTGCAACCAACACACCGACTAGCTCCGGATTATTTTGGATCCTCTCTTTGATACATAGTACCAAGCTTTGGGAGGCTCTGGTTGTGAAGTTGGAGACTTTGGGTTTGGTGGTGGAGAGAGCCGACAGCTGCATGAGGCGGCTGCAACGACTGAGCTCACTATAGTACTGATGTCAAGGAAGTAATAAAACTAAGAGTTATCAAGACCACCGGCGGAGGAACGATTTTGGAAGGACCATCAGGCATCAGCCATTAATAGCTCGATCAATTGAGCCCCACGCAATTATAGGACCTGCAAAAAGTGGGGGGCCTGGCGATCTCTCAACAACGTGAACAACTCTTCCAGGACAAGTCCTGACTCACTTGTTGAGCAGCGCCATACAATTAAACAAGTAAATAAAACACAGTTGACCGAGGGTAAACTAAAATGATGTACTTTTCCCATTCTTTAGCGATACACGTCAGGTATCTGTGTCTGGTAGAGCCTAGCTCACCTGAAGCTCCGGAGTGCAGTATGCACAGTGTGGCTTCCCATATCTACTCGTGACGTGACTGTGATCTCTGACCTTCCTGCTGGTTTTTCTTTTGTCATTCGAAAAACCTGCATTCTTTAAAAACTTTATCTAACGATAATTCTTCCAACTTCTTTTTGTCTTTTTTTGAGGGGGTGCTTTCATTGACAGTTCCGACGTGTATCCGACCTGTTAAATTTGCTGTCGTGGGTGGATCTCATGGAATGTGGATTGGCAAACGTTTAATTGACTTTTGTCTTGCTTTTCGACTTTTGACTTAATAAAGTTTGTGCCGGGTGCGTCTTTGCGTCCATAGGTCTTTTAACTTGTGGTTTTTAGAGACACACCTGAGCAATGTACCCAAAAGTAATTTTCATTTTTACTTCCAAAATAAATGTCAGAAATGGTTGTTTGATTTAAGTACGGGTATTGCCCTTACATCGAAGTAAATCGTATATATTAATTGTATATATTAATCAACACTAATCATTCACAAGCTTACTCGGGTGGGACTCGACCCTGCGACTTCCAGCTTACCAGGGCAGACGAAACCTCTCAACCACCGTATACATGGGTGCTTATTAAATTGTTATTACATAAACTGACCCTCCTTGATTTCAGTAATTTCAAGCCCATTGTCAACTTTGTTGGTGGAGATGATCAGGTGTGGTTCTTTATGGTGAATGCTCAGACAGAGATGGATTGTGGTCCTGCATTGTGCGGCATCGTTGAAGCTCAGCAGGTAGGGGGATTGAAATGAGTCAAGAAGTAAAGAATTTACATAAGTTAAGAAATGACATTCACATTTGGCATCTCCTCTGAATATTTAGAGAAAAAGAGGATTAGTTAAATCACTTCATTGTCTCATACACACCCATTGGAAAGTCGTTCTCACTTATGTCTCGATTGACAGGCAGTTAAAGGTCTAGATGTAAACGCCTACATAGCAGCCCTGGAAAAGGTCGAAAAAGCTGTCAGGAGAATGAAAGTCTCTCTGAGTAGAATGAGAGGTACGTCATGATCATTTAAGTCTAAAACAACATACCTGAAACAGACTTCGACCACTTTGCGCCGGAGAACGTGTAAAAATGATCTCGGGTGGCGGCTGCACCTGTCCTATTGTATCCGCTCCGAGTGGAAAAAAACCCAGAGAGGGTGAAGGTGGGAACCATTATAGAGATCATAAAGTAAAGCTAGAGGTGACAGGCTTATCCGCTCCGAGCAGAACAAAAGAGGGCGTTTTTTGGCACCCACCGCATAGGCGCGCCATGAGGCGCGCAATTATATGCGCGTTTGACGCGGAGCAAGCTGAGTAATTCTGGCATGAACTGTATGGTCTTTGCGTACGCGTAGAACGCGTACAAAACCCTTTTGTAACCACCTGCCTGTCTTTCGCCGATAAGAGGTGCACCTCTGGCACAAGGGCGACGTTGTGTTCGATTACCTGTACGCTGCCATAAGTACATGTAGGCCCGCTGTACTTATGATCTCTATCATGGTGGGCACACACCGCTTGCGCGTGCATGACGCTCTCATGAACGTCCTCCCGTCTCGAGTGCATTTCTTTGCTCGTGCGCTTGGTGCGTGCATGTACCTGGTTGACAAACTTCAGTTTCCGCCATAGATATCTACGGTTTTCGCCAGGGGGGGGTCGCTATGTAAAAATTATAGCCGCAGCTGTTTGATGAGTATTTATGAAGTGTAGTAAAATAAATACTATGCGGTTTGGAGGGAAATAATAAATGAATGTTTATTTTATAATTTCATGAGGTGACAGATGAAGCCGAGTGGAATAGGCCATGGCTGATGCAACATTTCACCGGAATGAAATTATTCTTACCAACGTATGAATATGAATCTTTTTTTATACAATACCTGCAAAAATCTGTTCGGAGAAAAAAACAGTCCTCGCTTGTTACGTCCGTTATTTTGTGAAACAGATTCATTTCTGAAGCACCACCCACTGGTAGTTTCAATTTTAGACAGGGTGCCGTCCCAACATTTTTGACATTTTCCTCTTCTTACCGTGAATAAAATAGATGACATGGGAGCGCAAACCAGGCAAGTGAAACGAAGGTTGAGTCAGTGGTACCCATTGAATAGAACGAATAATTCAGTGACATGTGATCCATCAATGTTCCACGATTCAGATGGTGGAGATTTATGCAGGTACTGTGTAATGAAAACTAATGATCCTTCGGTGTTGGATGATTGGGTCGATCACCTCAGCCTAGGGGCTCAGGGTACATAAATGGTTTTTAGTGTTTCGCCGCAAACCATTTTGTATTTGTATGCCCCACTTCACGGCAGTCAATAATTGTTCAATGTAGTGTATCTCACATGCACCACGTCACAGAGCACAGCTGCACACTAAAATATTTCATGTTCCGCTCAGCACTCATAGGATAGCATATTCTAGAGTGATTGTCTTCTGACCTGCTGTGCCAGGTGTTCACATTGTTTGGAGGCTTGCGGTGATCATGGCGATAGCCCCAATGGCCTGAATTCATTAAGCTCTCAAATTTAGGGTGGTAGAACTACTTGCTTGTGTTGTGTGATTTGTGTTCGTTGTTCCATTGCAGAAAGGTGTCGCCCATGGGTATTCTATAATGTCATACGTCCTTATTTTGCTGGGTAAGATAAAGTTGAGTCTCTCCAACTGACTTGTAGTTACTTTTAAGCAGGTAGGCGTATACCTCACTTTATGTACTGAATAATCAGCCTGGATCGTCTAAATCCCGGCACTATGTTGACAGAAGCACTGTTATAAGGTCTTGACCATGTTGACTGGTCTTGACCTGTACAGCCTATAGCAGGCGAGGAAATCATGTTCGTGCGAATTGAACAGTGTTTTACTGGCAAACATGAATCCCTGGCAAATCTATATTACTATTTGACTGGTATGTGGCCCACCTGATAAATAATAACAGCTTTACTTTTTATTTTGATTTAGGTGGGATAGCCCTGCATTTAAGGCTAAGGGTTGGAAAGGGCTGATCTACGAAGGGGTCAGTCCAGACCCACTGTGTGTAAGTACCACAGAAACGTTTTTTTTTTTCTCAGGGCAATATTTGGAGCATTTTAAGGCTCCAAATTGCTTTAAAGCATTTAGGCTGGAGAATTTATAAACAGGAAGTTGAGGTTACAAGCGTCTTCCTGAAAAGTGACCCAAACAGGAGCACCGTTGTAAGAATGTAACTGCCAAAAGGATGAGGTGGAAACTTCTCAGTTTAAAAGTGTTCTTCCCTTCTGGCTTACAACTGCTTTATTTACAAATAAATGGAGTAAGTTATGTACTCCCAAAAAAAATCAACTTCAAATTCAATCAGTGAAAAACAAAATCAATTTGACCCTGTACAAATCATTTCAGGTTCCTTACAATCACAGAAGATTAGAGTTATTTGTCATGAAAATGCAAAATAGGTTTAGTTCTTTCTCATTGGGAAATACATGTAGTTTTCAGTGTACACATCCCTTATAATTAAGTTCCGGCTCCCACAGTGTGTCAACTCTATTCGCTCAATTCTCAGCACTACACTCGGGTATTTGTAGGGTTTCTGTCGTCCAGATCAGTTTGTGACACCGGGCAGCACAGGTAGCAAGGGTAGTGTGGTTGACATCAAAAGTGACCACTGACCATTTAAATTTAAAGAAATGGCAAACCTTACAAGTACTACGTTTCTAATTTGGAAAGAAAAAGTAAGTTCCTGACTATAATTTAAACTTCAAAACTAATAGCTTTTGGAAAATTACACAGCTGAATCCTTCAACCTTGACAAATATGACAGTACAATCAAATAAAATTAAATTACATCACATCTACAAGTTCTATTTTCAGTGAAGGAAAGGAACTTCATCTTATCAAAACATAAACAAACTTTATAGAACAACCAGCCAGAAAAATAGGATATTTACACTTACAAGTTTTTTCAGTGAAAGTACTTGAGGTGGTTCAGTTCTGCTCCACTGCTGACCTTGACAACAAAATCTGACAGGCTGCATGGGTTTTCCTCGGTTCTGTTCTAACCCTGGCAGGTTAGTTGTTGCATGAGACACCTGAATTTGGACCTACTTGGCAAAATTGCCTCCAAATTGTGTCTTGTGGCCAAAGAGAAAACACTTTATGGGAGCAACTCAAATATCATGCTTACATAGCAGAATCATCTGGTATTCTGACTCTCAGCCTAGCTGTGGTACTTTCCACATCACTTTCATTTCACACTTTACTCCAATAAGCTCGAGCTAATTTTTGAATCATAAAAGAAGCAGCTTTTTTCCAGAACCTGGCTAACCTAATTTACGAAAGAGACACGGACGCAGGTTCACCTTCAATGCTGGTTTATTGTTCAACACATCTGGAGTGAACATTTAACCAACTTGTCAGAAAAGGTAAACAAAATACTTCCTAGTGGACTCTCATCTCTAATTCAACTCTAAACAACACTTCTCTATCAGTGAAAGAAAACTAGTTACACTATACAAAAGACTTGCATGGAAGGACTCGAACTGGAGGGGTGTTTGCTGCAATGAGAAAGTTCCTGAAGAAGACTCCTAGCCCGGTCAACTTAAATTGGAGGGGGGGAACATTCCATTAAAATCTGAGGGGTTGAAACAACTAATCAATGCACATATTCAGAACTTTCAGAAGTTTGGCTGGAGTAACTTCTGGATGACAAAGACAGTCACATTTCATAATGTCCAGTCTGCAAAAACTCTTTCCTTGCTTTCTTTTTCCAAATTCCAAACTATGTCTTTCCTCTTTAACAGGAAAAAACCAACTTGCATTCTTTTTCACCTTCAGGGGTGTGAAAATTCAGCTTTTTAAGTGATTTCAATTTTTTTGTTTGGATGTTGACCCTAAATGTCATTTCTTTTGTACACCTGGTCAGTACAAAAGTATGGGAACTTTTTACATTTCAACTTTTTGTTAGCTGTTTCAGCTTTAATTTTGAGTGGCCACTCACATCCCCGCACCATTCACTGTTATTTAAATTCTCTTCCATTATAGGTTCTAACACATGAACATCTGCATGTATTCAGCTGCTTGCATGCCATGCGTGATTGTATTTACTTTTTACATCAAAACATTTATTTTCCATCTTGTCTTTTGATTCAGAGTTTGCAATGCACATCATCGGTATGCTGTGTTCTTGAGCAAGGCACTTTATCCAATCTTTCTTTTGTCCCTGAGAAGAATGCACAAAAACCACATTTTAAACCAATCAGAGTGCAGCTTGTGATTTTTGACTTTTTAGGTTTGGGCTAGGTTTTCTCCATGTTAATACAAAACTGAATGGAATCTTCTGGTCATTTCTAGAGAAATTATGTGTCGCTGGAAATATTCATTGGCTTGCTTTCAACATTGATCATAAAACCCCTATTTCCTGCTTAGTACGGTGGCGGAAGTGCTGCTCAGAGTGTAACACTCCCCTCTCTTGATGCAGGATTAGGTATCATCCATCAGCCAGAAGAAAGTAAGCAGTTTATGCCATTGAACACATAAAGCATACGATTAGTGTGGTTTTACTGGGATGGAGTGTTGATCAGTCATCTATTGAGGTTAGATAAAAGCCTGATGTGCCAAAAATGGATAAAACCTAACTTAACCTAATTTGTAATTCTCACAATGGTTTCAGTTCTTTTGAAATTGTTTTGTACTCTCGGGAATGAGCTCAATGTCTTTTAATTGATTTTCTCGTAAGGTGAAAAGTGGGTTGATTAATTCAGTACTTTAGTATTTTCACTTCTGAACTTATTTATAGTTGTATATAACCTCTGGAGGTTCCCAGTTGATTGAAATTCGTGTATGTAGCCTGGAAGTGATAGCTCAACAGATCTGAACCTGTATTCATGATACTGCAAATATATTTACAAGTGTTGGAGGCTGAGAATATTTTCTGATGTTTTCTTTTTAACCTGCTCCATATTGTAGCTCCCTTGGCAAAGATTTGTGATCGGGGCCTCGATCTTGAAATGTACTGTATCTAAATAGTATTCCTTTTAAGTTTCGTTCGTATTTTTCCGTTTTCGGGGGGTTGGCTGTTTTTGTTTCTTGAAAAGAAAATGCCTGCAACAATTTTCAGAAGCAAATGTTGCCACAGCACCGTGAGTTCGTCAAGGCATTGGCTGATGGGCCCTCCATACGACACTTTGGTAAGTAAAACATAAAGTTGTAGACACAGAATTTGATAAGGAAAATAAATGTGAAAAGGTCATTTGTTTGAGCAGTGCAATGGTTTGTCTGAGTTCTAATCCTGTTCACTTTCTTTGCCCAACATTCCTGAGATGATGTATAAATACTTAAGTTTTGACTTTGTTATTTCAGTTGATGTTAACTTGAATTACGGGTTTTACCTTTACCCGACATATATACTGCAAACCTGTAATTAAAATTAACATCTCCCAAATACAAAGTACATCTTGAAAAATTCAGTTGATGTTATTACCCTTGACACAATATTTATATTTTCTTATATTTTGCAGCAACTTTTTCCAAGAATTCCAGAGCGCTCCGAGTCTACAATGCTTGTCTCCAGGCAGTTACTGACTTCCGTTCCTATCACATTCAGATAGTAACAGAGTAAGACATTTGAATGAAGGCCAGTTCATTCTTGGTGCCAAAGCAAGCAGGAACATGAAGTTGGCATGTTGGATAAAACTCTTGAGCACGTAAAAAGAAAAAAATGAATACGCTTCAACTCGAGCAAATTTTGCTGCAAATCTTTTGAGACAACAAATTTGGTTTGCTTTCATATTTGCCTGAAGTATGAACAGGCCATAAGAAATCGGTAACTTTTATAGCATCTTTAGCCCACACTGAACCATGTTAGAGTTATTGGCACAAAATGAAATTTCACATAGTCCGGTACCCTTTTATCCATATTTCACCAGAGAATATGCAAACCTGCAACAACTTTTCCATGATGGTATCATGGAGGATTTGTTAGCACATTTTGCCAGTTTATATATTTAGCAGCGGGTGATGTGTCTATGCGTCCTCACACTTTGTTGGTTTGTAAGTTCAGTATGTTGAACATCCATTTGGCGGTTGGCTGTCCTGACCCTGCTGTTGTACACAGACTGTACTCCTGAAGCACAGTCTCAGTGAGTGTTCAGCAGCCAGTGTAAGAACACAGTAAGAAATACAAGTAAGATATTGTGTAGAACGGTACTCACAAAAATCTAGACTTGAGGGGCATCAAGTTGTTTAAAATTTGGCCCAGTTGATCTTGCATTTCTCAAGACCAGTTTTACAGCCTAAAAACCCTGCCTCTTTTGCTTAGGGGTGATTCCTTGTGAAATAATCCTTGGGCCAATTTCATAGTGCTTTTTAAGCAAAAACTGTTTAAGCGTGAAAAAAACCTTGCTTGACAAATTAGGTTACCAGCCAAAACTTCTTGTATGATGTATTTTGCTTTGGAATGGTATTTGCCAGTCTTTTGGTTAGCATGACAATCACATGGAGTTTGAGCTAGTAACATTTATTTATTAAGCAAGGTTTTTCGTGCTTGAGCAAATTCTGTGCTTAAGCAGCTCTGTGAAATTTGCCTCAGGCACACAAGCACCATTGGTACAGTTCTGCTGCTATCCGCTCTGAGCAGAACAAGAGAGGGCGTGTTTTTTGGTACTCACAGCATAGGCGTGCCATGAGGCGCGCAAGTACATGTATATACGCATCTGATGCGCACGCTGAGTACACGTAACTAATTTATTCCAGCATGTATGGTCTTTGTGTACAAGAACAAGAACCTGCGTGGAAAACTTACGACCATCTGTCTTTCTTTTGCCGCTTGGGGGTGCACTTCAACTCAGGCGGATTTACTGGGGTCCACTGTGAATGTGTTTGTGATCTTAGTCCAGAGCATGATGAGTTTTCCTAACTTCGGATTAAAGCCTACCTAACTCCCAAACCCAAAAGTAGATCGACCAAATGTTAAAGTTACCAATTTTTGGGTACCTTCTTCTCTGACTTATTCATAAAAATGTGTTCGAAGTTACCTTGAAAGGATACTCGATACTCTTTGTTTGCATTGAGAGGCCATATTGATAACCCCCCTTCACCTCTAAATATGATTTTCTTTGCCTTTGCAGATATGTCATTATTCCGTCACATCAGAAGGACATCAATCAAAACTTTTCTCACCAGGCTGCATTGGGAACTGGAGGAACAGGTGACTTTGACGGATTGATGGTGGCCCATTTCATCAATTTGTACTTTTTCATATTGGACATATAATTTGAGAAGTCCCTTACCAAACACAGATGTAATTATGTCAACAAATTTGATCTGGATTTGAGACAGTTTTTGTAAACGGTTTTTTCTGAAGTTAATGTTCGGCTAAGATCTCTTTGAATGTAGTATCTCATCTCTTACAGGATTTATGACATTTTTGAAAAATATGAGGAGCTCCATCACAAATGCTTTCTGCAGAATTGATGAGGGAACGGAGATTAACTGACAAGTGTCTGCCCTTCTGGTCCCTGCTTTCTCCAAAGTGGGTGACCAACAATACCAGAGGTATCCAATTTTAAGAAGTACTACATCCATCCTGGAGTTATTTAAAAAAAAAAACTCAGAATTTGGCTGTAATTTTAAAATGTAATCCTCAGTACTTATGAAGTTTTGTGTAACTGCCTAATCGTGATCACATCAGGATGTGCATGGGTACTGTTTCTGGAATGCAAGTGGGGGCGGAGGTGATGCTTTTTCATGGGGGGTGCACCCCCACGCCTCCCCCTAGGCACACAGCTGCATATTTGTACTCAAAGTGTGATCCTTGCAAATCAGTGGTACTTGAGATTTGTGCTCATCCAGGCGGACATTTGCTATTTGGTTTGGGGGCTTGATGCATAAACATGTAGTGCAAGGGTATACAAGTGTACAAGTTGGCCAGTCCAGTTTGAATTCAGTTGCATTAGTATAAAACAATATGTGGACTGGTAATGTGATGTGATCCAATTTATAACAATTTCGACAATTTTGTTTTTAAAATTCTGCATAATTTGGTACTTTATGCTCAATTTCAATCAGTACTTTGTGACCTTGTGTAAATTATCATATTCGTGTACATTAATATATTTATCTGCCGTAGTAATATTTTGTATGCAACCTTCTCTTCTCCTCATTCTGTTGGAATTTAACACAATTTTGTGTTACTAATAATTTTAAAGTTCATTGGGAAATTTGTGGATTGTAGTGAGTCTGATTGAAATTATATTGGCAAAAGCATTCTAAAAGTTGGCGCTGACTTATTTTCTTTACTGAGAAACACTATATCTTGTCCATGACCGCACAGCATCAGCAATAAATATATGGGCCTTTCGGTTCTAATTTTCTGTTAGTTGTATTATGCTTTACCTATTCATGTAGAGTCGCTGTTGAACACAGGCCTATGAGTTTGCCCCCCCGTCAGTCTTCCAGTCATCAGCACCCCTGCCCGTTCAATTTTTTTCATCATCCGTGAGCTTGAAAACCCATTTTTATCAAAGAATAATTGGAAGGATGCAACGCTTGTTTTGGAACCGAATATTCATTTCAAAAAAAAATTCTGTTTAAAAATTTGGCTTATAAATCCTGGGATATTCACACTGAGTATGTCTCCAGCAACGTCCCCGCCTCTAACCAACCTCACCTATCCGTCTCTCCAAAAAACTGTTGGCTGCTGCAGTGCTGGGAGGGACACTGATTCGCAACTTGGTTTGTTAGAATTTGGTTTTAAATCATCATATAGTCATCAAGTACAAAGTCTAGACAATAAAGGGTCAAATTTGTACACTTTTCCCATCTCGAGCCAGCTCCAATTTATTGGCATCTCCAGAGTTTTTCCAAGGTGGTAAAGGACTTGCCACGCACCAGAAAATCGAGAAAGCATTTTAAGTGGAAGGGGGATTTCTAAAGCAGATTGGTGATGGTTATGCTCTTGAAGGTTTGCTTCTATTCCCCATTTTTGTGATTTTTTTTTCAGGGGAGGCGCCCTCCCCACCCCACCCCTCCGCACAGCTGGCTTAACGCCGCACAGTCGAGTCGCGCGATTGCCGTCTGCCATAATAATGAGCCATGGTCGGAAGGGGCGGGGACCAATGAAAATATTATGCCTTAAAACTTAATACGTTGCGGTGGCGTGGCGCTCTATGCAAATCCACGGACGCGCAAATGTACATGTACATATGGACGTATGTCTTGTACATGTACAGTACATGTGCACGTCCATAAATTTAATCCCGAAAAGCTAAGACCATCGTATCGTGTACATGTACATGTAGGAGGCAGCTGTTGGACCGCTTGCAAAAATGTGAGCGCGAAATTTGTCCATTCTGGAGGAGATGTGCACGACAACAATCAGCTATCTTGGAAAGTAAAGCCGTAGGGATTCTTCGGTGTTGGAATGGCTAGCTGTCGCGAGCTATTTTAGGTGGCATTGATGTGGTTTTTGGTTGCTACGGCAGTGTCGCCAGCCTATTCATCTGTCGTGTCAACGTACAGCACATATGAACTGTACATGTATTCACACAATCACAGCGCCTCTGCACTGGATATGTACATGTACATGTAGGCCTACACGGATGTGGGCCCAGATCGGTTGTTCTGTACATTTCATGATTGCACTCTGCACTCAGCTAGCTTTTTTGTCCATCTGCACTTGGCTCGACAAAACTGAAGTGCAACTTTTCATATTCTGCCTGGGCAAATGTTGACCATGTATCCTGAATCGTGTCCACTGGAGAACAAGATTTGTTTCCTTCGAGAAACTTAATCCAGTCAAGTTTGCTTTGAATTGATATCTGTCACCAGGTCATTTGACTCGTGTCAAATTCGGTTAGACACAACATAAAACAATGCATAAATCTGACTTGAATCTAGACCGAGTTATTGAGCAGCTTCTACAAACCACAGGAAAGCAGGTAAGATAAAAAAAAAGAGATTTAAATTAGAATAACTAACTGATAGGATGCACAAACTAATTTGTCTAGCACCAAAGTCTGTTAACCAGCCCAGTGGACGTCATCTACTTTGCATTGCAAATTATGGAAAATCATGTTAACAGATAAAAGCCCAGGTTGGACGTCATCTACATTTTGTTGTTCAACCTGGGCTATCTGTTAGGCCTAACATGCATTTCCCTAATTAATATCATGAATGTAAACCTTTTAACAACTTCAACTTGTCATGGGAAATGTATTGCCTACTTCGTTGGCTTAATTGATAATTCCTGTTGGCCTATTTGTGCTTTTATAATTTTTTCACCTAAACTTGCAAGGGATTAGAGCAGTTTATTGATGTTGCATACAGAGTATATTATGTACCCAAAAAATGAGTCTGAATGGTTGTGAAACCAAAAGAAAAGGCACCCAAATTTGTTCAAATTTGTTTTTGGAAGGAATGGTGTATCCCTACATCACGTTTTTCTTCATGCATTTCTTAGGCCCCATTATTTTAATTATAGCCAAGATATTTTCCAGACGTGATGAATCTTAAAAACAAAAAGTTTTCAGTTTTTGAAAATGCTTTGAAAATGTTGCCGTTAAAGTGTTTATACAAATTCGGAATGTAACTCTCCCATTTTTTTGGCAGTATTAGAACTTCAGGAAGGTACCTGTCTTTAATTTATGACCCAGATCTTTGTTTTGATGTTCCATGATTTGTTCAACTGTTCCTATAGACATTTGTCATCATCTCTGTTAGGCCCCAACTATAGCATAAGTCCCAACTATAGCATAAGTCCCAACTATAGTCGGGGCAGTCCCAACTGTAGTGCTGCAGTTGGGCTAGCCTAACTATTGTTGACCAATGTCTGTGGGAAATGTCTCAACATTATCCAAGTCAATGTGTCTCACAATTGACACAATTCATCTAAAATGTGGCACTTCATTTGTAAACAATATGACTTTGGCACATGCTGGGCACATCATGCACACAGGACCACTCTGCTGTATGTAGTTGGGCCCGCCCAGCTGTAGCACTCTAGTTGGGGAGGGCCCAACTATAGTTGGGACTGATGCTATAGTTGGGGCGTAACATCACTAAAGGGGTACACCACTCTGGAATTTCCACAGATACATGTATGTAACAATTTAGATTGTCGACTTTGCATGTATTGCAATGGTCTGGGTGAAAAGAAGCCAACCTAATGTCTTACAATACGGGCGATTCACAATAGTGCGCCACCAAGAGTTTGCAACACGTTGGCCAATCATAACGCGCAAAATTTGTCGACCCTTTCCAAACACGCATTGGGTCGACAAATTTCGCACATTGTGATTGGCCAACGTGTTGCTAACTCTTGGTGGCGCACAATTGTGAAATGGCCATATTACAGAGAGATGTTAGAAAAACTGAGTTGGTTTATGTACACTGTACAACAGCGATTGCGAAGCTTGCATTCATGTACATTGTACGCATGTACATGTAGCCCACACAAATTTCCAGCAGTGATCAAAAAGCGATCAAATCCCTCATGTACGTTCATGAGCTGGACTGCCCAATCACATTTACATGGCGTCTGGTTTAACTGAAAAACGTCATTTAGGTGTCACCTAAATTATGTAAATTTTCTGTAATGTTTGTGCACATCATGTACATAGAAATGTACATTGTACATCATCACTTCATTATGTAAACTGCCAAAATCTGTTCCCTCTTTTATGAAATCCTGTGTGTAGGATTCCAAGCGTTGTCATAGAATGAAAATCAGTAGTGCTTAATTTTTCAGCTGATCAAGCACCACTTAAACAGGAACCTCCCAATTGCTGTGCCATCTCCTGTAGAGGCAGTTGCTGTTCGTCTCCTGTCGTGGCAGGTCCATGACACTTCTACATGTAGGTTTGGTGAATCTCAAGAATCCATCCAGTGCTTGTCTAATGCTGGATGAAGGATGTTTTCCACATGTTCAAACATAACAAATGTCCCTGGATCACAGTATGTTCTCAGAGGGGCCAATTAATATTAAACTGAGGGCAGGTGACTCTAGGCCCTTCATTCTGTAAACTTGCAGTAAGACTAAATTACACTGAACCCTCACTGCACAATACATGTACATTGCTTCCGTATGGGCAGCTGTGTCATAGCAAGTCCCAATGTGGGAGAGCTCAGGTTACATGTTTCATTACTGAGAGTATATTCTTAGTTAACATACAGTACAATTGTAATGTGATTAAGGGTGGGAATTTATGTTTAATTTGAAAAATGTTTACAAAAACTTTCCCATACAGTTTAAACGTTTAACCAACACTTTACAGAGTCCGCCACTGCCTACACTATACCCTATCTCAGTGTTTTCACAGTTCAACAATGCACATGGTACAACCTATGTAAAAATGTAGATTGTTGGGGCATTTAAAACCAGCAATGTTTATTGTCTTAGAATCCCCCTTTTTTTCCCCAAAACGTACATAGATGCTGACAGGGCATCATTTACAATAAAAATGAACGGTAGATTGCATCAGTCACAACGTCAAACCTCTCTAAAAGGGGAAGTCATTTGGGAAAATCTGTAAACGGCTTTTGAACTTTTCCATTTAAACATTTTAACATGTAAACTTCCCACCCTTAAATGTGGTGTTTCCCCGATTGAAGTGTAGCAGTTGAAGATCTAATGAAACTTCATCATTAGTTTCAGTTAACTTATTTACTTCTATTTGATTTGTTGAATGTACTACAAATGAATAGAAATTTTAGTACATTGATTTTTGTTATTCGTTTAGCCCATTATGGATGGTGCAGTTGAGAGAAATATCTTTCAATTTTATTACATTGTACTCCTGAATAAATGAATTGAAAAATGAATATATAATCCTCCGATACTCTCCAAATACTTTTCTTTACAGTAGACACTCATCCAAAACTTTTCCTCTAACTGGTCAGGTCCAGCTCCCGGAGAACCAGATCCGTCAGCTATGCCAGCTGTCCAGGGAGAAGTTTCTGGAGGAGCCCATGCTGCTAGAGCTAGAAGCTCCCGTCAACATCGTGGGGGACATCCATGGCCAGTTCTCAGACCTCATCCGGCATTTTGAAACACTGGGCTATCCCCCTGAGAGTAACTACCTCTTCTTGGGCGACTACGTTGACAGGTTAGTTTTCGGTTAGTGCATTCTGTCCTCAGACGAGCATTCCACAATAGGGTGTGCCTCCAATGTTTAGGCCCTACACCCCCCAAAAAGGGAGGGTTTGGAGCCATGCGTGATTACTGTGTAACATGGTCCAGTGATGCCAGACGTTCCCACTATGTGGTTTGTGTGTCTGCTGATTTGAGCCCTCTAAAGCTGTGTTCCCATTGGACTTTTTCTGGTTAACTTACTGCGACTTTCCTGTAGAATTACAAAATTAGATCCAATGGGAACACACAGTAAACTAACGTCCCTTTCAACTGACCACGATCGTGATGTAAAAACTAACAGGCCGAAAAGGGTTGCAGAAGATTTCCGCGCAGCCAAAGTAAGTTAGCAGGGGTGCAAAAAAGTCCAATAGGAACAGTTCCCGTACCATGTAGATTGACTACGGCCACGCTAAAACTACGAACCAGATGACTGCTACAAAGTGATTGATGACGGGTATGCAAAAATGGTTGTATGGTTCCCAGTCTCCAGCTCTGTGCGTACAGTACAGCAGCATGCCGTGCACACACAGTGAAGCGCGCCCGGATAAAGCTACGGGATGCACACATTGTGTACGGAGCTTTATCTGTACAGGTTCATCTTACTTGTGGCTGATTTGCTTGAATTCGTCTGATTTTGTCAATTTTTTTGCTCAGATTTCCCCGATTTCTTCATGACTTGTACATAGCAAATGTAATGCTGCAATGTAATCAGCTGGTGTTATGTTGCCTAACACAGTGAATAAACATTCCGTTACGGTAAAAAAGTCCATGTGGGAATGCGGGGTAGATTGACATGAAGGAATGCCGTGGTAGGTTTCTGCGTGCTTGCGGAAGAAAAAGTCCAATGGGAAACGGCTTAACAGATTTTGTAGTGTCCTGACTTAATCAGACCATAAGGGGAGGTTACTTCATTGTCTTTGGGCCTTAAATTTACATGATTAGCTAATTTGTTTGAGTTGACTGCTTTGAAAAAAATCATGGAAAAATACAGTGCCCTTTTCAATGTTCAAATTGAAAATCTCGTAAGGTCAAACAAAATAATAGTTGTGCTTCCTACTACATGGAAAAAAATAGGTGGAGTCGATGGATAGTGTCCTTTTTGTTTCTTCTAAAGTTTTGGGGTAGGAAATTTTTATTTTTTTTTAATTAAAAAGTGATTTTGATAATTTGTGACAACATTTTGGTTACATGTGTATAAGGAAGGTTTTGATTCAAATATGACAAGCAGCAAAAACTAGAATGCAGTATCTATGGTCAAGTGGCTTAAAAGTCTGTAGAGAAGCAGTCTGGGTTTAAATAACTCGTACGGAATAACTCTTATGCCTTTATCTGCAAAAACATGCCTTTATTCACATGAAATATAAGACAAAGAAATTACTCTCATTATTTTACTTTCTGAAATGTGAGTGCATTTCCCAAATTCTAAGGCAGATGCTGATCCCGGCCCACAGCATGCTCTCCACTGCCATGACTTGTGCAAGCACAACGTGCGAGCTTCAAGCACAATGTGCATGACGTGACTTGCGAGCGAGCACGATACATAGTCTGGTCCCTAGACTGCTTAAAAGCATTGCATTTAATATCAATGATGGGTTACGTACGGTAAGCAGATGAAATGCACAAATGAATGGCAGCAACGGACAACAGAGGATGTCATGTTAAACTCTTAGTGGGCTTTGCCTAAACTCCAGATCAAGATCAAACCTGCGACTGCCGCGATACCAATTAGCACGTGAGAAAAACGTAAAGCCTCAAGTGATAAAAAGTAAACAATCTAACAGCTACAAAGCGTTGTCTACAAAAATAAGCACGAGGGATGGCAACAGTATTTTTAATTGTAATTTTTTTTCAATAAAAAGATTTAGGGTCAGCACGATTTGCTAGGTTTGGGTGGGTAACTGTAAGCACAACTGTTGTTTGCTTTGGCCTAAGTTATCTTGCACAAAATCCATGAACTATAGGGTGAGTGAGCAAAAACATACACACAGGGTCCATCTGCAGATGAACAGGCTTGACAGGTGCTCTTGCCCTTTTAAAAAACGAGCCGTTTTCTTGGCCAAGAGTAATCAGTAAATTTACCTTGAGGTAGTATTCCTCTTCGACTGTGTAGCACTGTAGATTCATGGAAAAGCTTCACTGAGCAGTGAAGTTACTGGGTGCGGTTCGGTTGACTCGTCGGTGACAGGATGAGTAATGTGGGCATGTGCGTGTGCAATTATGCTTCATGATCACTCTTTTGCGTTGATTTGTACATGTCAATGGAAATCTAAAATCCGTTCTCAGTTGCCTGAATAATTATGGGCATAGTGCTAATTACATGTATTTCTGGAAACGTGTAAGATTTAATGTCTGGAAATCATAGTTTTGTTGACGAATATTCTCTTGCTGTGCAGTAACTTTGTTCAAACCAACCCGAAACCAACCCAACTGGAAACCGACTTCGGGTCAGATCGATTTTTCCAACATTTCAGTCGGTTCGGGTTGGATACAATTTGTATGAAATAAAGGATGCTTAACCCAAACCAGACGTTCAGATTTTTTCGGGTTCAGTTACGTTTTTGTCGGTTTGTGTAGGTTTTTCCCTGATTTCTTGTCGTGTTGGGTCGGTTTGGAGAGCTCAGATGGGTTTCGGTTCGGATTCGGTTTGTCTTTAATACTTTGGGTCGGTTTGGCCTCTTCAACCCAATCGGATGCACATCATTACTGTGCAGTGGCTGGGAAACAGCGGTCGTGTTACAGTTTGAAACATACAATATGCTTTGGGGGTTGATTGTGAGATCACAACATTTTTGTGTTAACAAAATCCCTTGTGTAGATAAAATGTAACTCCAAACTTATTCTTTTTTCTCCTTTACTCAATATACCATTCACTTATTTTCCTATTGTTTCAGTTTTCAATGTGTTCTGTGAATTTCTGCCGATGTGTAGACTCTATGTACTTGGCAGCCGTTAACAGATATGGTATTTAACACAAAATAAAATTTTGAAACGATGGTTGGCCGACCATTAAAATCTCAATTATTCTACAGACTTTCTGAGCTTGTTACAATTTAGTTTCCAGCAAGATATTCAAGGATTATTCTACTTCCCCATTCTTTGTTATTTTACCTGTGGTGTAACCTATCTTTGAAGACATACCAGTGCATATTTATCTTTATGTACACTGTTGTATGTGTACACACTTCTAGGGAAAACCCAGTTTGAATTGCTAAAGTTTAGAGGGTGCGTGGTTGCTCATATGATGTAGACACTGAGGCCCAAACGATAATGCAGTAGTCTGATGATCAAGTTCTAAATGTGTGTGTGCATTGAGCAAGGTCCAGTGGCCAATCGCTGTTGTTACCAAATAGTGACATTTACAAACTTTGGCAATCATCCTGAGCAATTGGCCCCCCAAAAATGAATTTATGGTTAACACTGCACAAAAAGCAAGTGGCTGCATGAATTTGCACATGAACATGTACATGTAGCTAGAACTTTGGCAACTACTTGAAATTTGCCAGCTGGAACCCTGATCAAGAACAACTGAGTTATTTTCATGCCTTGTACATGTACATGTATGTACCGGGCCATGTCCAAATAATTTTGGCTCCAGCTTGAAACCACACACAGGTCTATGGTAGTACATGTACATGTACATGTACATGTACATGTACATGTACATGTAGGTGCAGCCACTTCCTACTCAATTGTGTGGACAGTGGTCTCAAGCCCCAGCAAAGTACATGTAAGTCACTTGCGCATGATACAACCTGCTAGACACCCTGCGTCATGCTTGTATGGTTTGTAATCCACTGAGTCCATTACAGACTCAGTCCAGGCCTTCTGGCCCAAGCTTAAGGCAGAGACCGTGCATGAATTATCTCGCTGCACTTTGTGCCACCTTGCATAATTAATGAACGGAAATGGATCTCGTTAGATTCCAATGATATTGTTATTAGTGATAAATTAAATTGGAATATTTGCCAACTTGTGGTTGTACCGGTAGGGTTGAATGACAAGAGAATGAAAAGAAGAAAGTTAAATATTAAAATGGGAACAGAAATGTATTACACTTTTATTTTTGTCATTTTCGTTGTTGGGTTCATGGGATTGAGAGATCTTCTCGACGGATTAAGGACTGAGAAGATTAAGCCTTCCTTGTTACGGTCATACGATTGCCCATTGTTTGGTTTGTATTAACATACACTCACACTGTATATATACATGTATCATTTGATGAAACGTAACTGCCATGACATTCTTTAAACCTTGTGCAGTTTGATGTACATGTACATGTGATATATTTTAATCAAATGCCTCTTGGAATGATATTCATACAGTGATGGACATGTTGACAGAGTGACATCAACATGACCATTGCAAGCAGAACAGTGCCACAAGTCAAGTTTGTGTTGTCAAATTGCAGCCCCATCCCCTCCTCCAAAGAAAAGAAACAGGATTACTAATAGTTGATTTAGGATTCTCTAAAGCTGTCAAAGTTTATGAGCTGGAGAAAGGCTTGTTCAGTTTCTGTGTAACGGTGCATAGCAGCAGTGGCTGGTAAAGCCTCAAGCACACAGGATCGGGAAGAGCATTTCATTGCTGAGACTTTTTCAGGTCAAGCCTTTTACATTATCAGTCTGCCGAGTGAGAGAATCCATTTCTCCCCTCCCGTCATTCTGCCCCCTCGGTCTGTGCTGCCTCACAAAGGCTGGTGGAGAACGGCACAGCTGCTGCCCAGAGGCTGCGCTGGTTAAACACCGGCAAGTACGTGCTGCGGCGGCAATCAACGAGGGTCGGCTGGACGATTGGAGACGGAGTGTGTGTTTCTGACCCAGTTCATGTACTGCAGAATGAGGTCACATTGAATGAGTCGGTTCCGCCGCCATGCTCATGTAGCGACAGCTGATGGGCCACCAGTCTACATTTTCATAATCTGTCTTGGAAGTCAACAACAAAAGATCATGAATATATGCGGCTTACAGCAGAGCT